TTATGTATTGATCTCTTTACACCACCACTACCACCGATCCATTGTCACCGCCACCGTCATCGCTAGTACCACTTTCTCTTCCCTCCCCATCCAAAAACATCTCCACCACCATGCAATAGTCACCACTATCACCACCAAGCAGCACCACCACTTCTTCACCACCTGTAAGCCACTTAGGCTACCTCTATGTAACCAGCATCCTCATCAACATCCTAACACCATCTTCATCACCGTCCCAATTCCATTGATTTCAGATTTGAAATCGCCTTCAAAATTTATGGCTGGCTAGCTCTACTCTTTTGTTTATTGTATAAGATAATATATATATTTTTTGTCTTTTTCAATAAATACTAAAAGTGGTGGCCGCGATGACAGTAGAAATAAGTGACACTTACACGCTATGTTACGAGTGATGACGATGATGGTGAAAATAGGCCGGTGAAAATGTGTAACATAATTCATGTAACACAATGTATTACACAATTTATTGTAAAGAATTAAAAATAAAAAAATTATTTTTAGAATAAAAAAGGTTTAAAAGTTGTACTTAAATCTACTCAAATCTGATTTTAATCCCACAAAACTTGTGAGTCACATAAAATATATTGTTAAAATTGATTGTTGACTTTAAATTAGATTAAAATCTAGATTTTAATCGATACCAAACATGGCGTAACTTTTTGTATCTTATCAATTTTTTGCAATTTTTTACGTTATATAATTCCTTTTCCAGAAATTCTACATTTAATAAGGTACTTTCTATATTAATTTATATTTAAGTCCTACTCCTATTAGATGTATGTAATGTGATTTAAATGTAATTAAAATAGTAACTTACAGTATGTATGTATTATTATTGTCACCGTCTATGCAATTTTTTTTAAAATTGTAATTTTTGAAGTTCACACCCACTGCCACCATCTATTACCTATAGAAAAATACTATTCATCTCCAGTGAGGATGTATCCCCAATCTATGTGGATGTAAATGATTGGTTAAATGATAGGTGAAATTAAATGACTCGTTAATGTGACATTAAATGATAGGTGAAATTAAATAAGTCATTTAATTTCACCTATCATTTAAGTTGTTAGCTGCCGCTGAGTTGCCGCCAAGCCTCTTCGGTCTCCGCCACCGACGTCTCTAAGTTCTTGTATTGTACTTTGATATCCAATATTCGAAGCCTCTAAAATTTTATTTTTGTCACACTTTATTCTCGTCTTCGATGACAAAGTCTAGATATTGTGCCTTAATGTAATAAATTCTACAAAAAATTTTACTTGTATAAAGTTTACAAGTATATAATTGATAACATGGGCATTCGCAATCTTTAGAATCTTTTCTCGAGCTGATCGCCTAGATTTGACCAAAATATACCGATTACAAATTTCTTAACATGATCATTGAATAATAATTATTTTTAAATCAAAAGATAATCAAATCATCATCACATGAAAGTTAAAAAGAATTCAGTAGATTTCCTTTAAATGATCACTATAAATGGATGGTCTTCCTTTTTTTCGACACGATAAAAGTAACTACTTTTTAGGTTAAGACAAGGATTAATTTATCTTAATGATATATGTTCTTGTAGGGTTTTCATTAAAAAGTGTATTCAGTTTTGTCAATAATCTTTGACTAATGAAATGGTGTCAATAATTAAGACACGCACTTTTGACTTGAATGTAATAGAATTGTCTATTAAAAATATAAAAGTTTATGAGGTTGGGTCCCCAACTTTATTTTGTCACAATTGGAATGTTGAATTTATGATTTTGTCATTGGGAAAATTAGGGTTGGGACTCATCAACCTTTCACGTAGTGTGGTTGTAGGTTCTCAACTTTCAAAATTGAAGTTTTGGGTCTTCAATCTATTTAAATGTCTAAATTTGGGTTAACACGTGACGAAAATAGTTAATGTAGACGTTAAATTTTGTACATGACTTTCACGTGGTGTAAAACAAGAGCACATTACTTTGAGTGGTTTTTCAACTTTTATTCACATTCTTCAATAAAATAATATTATACGTAAACTCAAAAAAATTCTTATTTTTAACTACATATTTCTCATTAATACACTACTCAATATGCTTCTTTTTTTTTTGACAAAAATGAGGTTCAAACAAGCTCTTATATTGACGTTCATCATGTAATGACCTCATTTAACCCTTGTTCGAGCCCCATTATTTGGCAAATAATGTATTTTTGAATAGTAGATTGATGGAGAATGTGTGGTTAAAAAATGTATAGTTGAAAAGAAGAGATCGAAAAATGTATTTTGAAAACAATGGGGATCAAACAAGTGCTTACATATTTGAATTGTTATTTGAGAATCTAAAGTCTCAAATTTAAAGGTTAATGACCATACCATTTGAAAGGTTGTGGAACCCAACTCTCTAATTTTCCCTTTGTTATCAATAACGGTAAGATAACACGTAAGTTTTTATTTGGTAAACTAATAGAGTTAGACGGAATGAACAACGATATAATTAAATAATTCAATCGTGAAACGAAGTTTAAATGGATTTGTATTTTATTTTTTGCCTTTAGACATTCTTTAAGATACATTAAATTGAAACTTCTGTTTATTTTGTTTAGAAAGAATATGCAGAAAACAATGTAAAGTACACAAATAGAAATTAAAATGTTTTAAATCCTAGAAACAGACGTTTAATTCTTAAACTTATTGCCCCAAAAATATACAAACTATATGTACAAAATAAAATTTGAATTTTATAATAGAAGTTGCCCTAAGAGTACAAAACCCAAGTATTATGGATGGATAAAAGAAGTTAATAGTCGTCTAGATCAATGCCCGACCGAAGTAGTGACAAGAATTAGTAGAGCAGGTGAACGCTGCCACGAGTTCGATTCCCCTACTAACACTTCCTCGATCGAGCCCGTCGCACTGGGCTTGCCTAGTGCGGTTTATCTCTCTTGTGTACATGGATCGGGATTTATCTAGTGCGCACTCACAATGGTCGGGCTCCGTTGACGGATAGCGGCTGCGAGTTCCTATGTCAACAACAAAAAAAAAAGAATTAGTAGACTTCTTAAACTTTATTGATAATAAGTCAACACCCTTTAATTTAAGAAAAATAATTGTAATCCCCTATTTTAAAGAATCAATCAAAACAATTCACATAGTCGATGAACCTAAAGTTATAAAAAAACGAGACTTAATCCGTTATCATTGTTTGTAATCCATTTTCACAATATAGTGCATGCTTGATATACATTTCGAGATATTATGATAAATAAAATTTTAAATATTTTTTCTTCGTTAATATTGTTCAATACTGTCTTATCTTCCTATCAATTGAACTACTTAAATAAACTTATACCCGCAACACCTCACATGGAAACTGACATTAATAAGAGAAGTTTACACATCAGAGTCATACATATGTAGAAGTTCTTTAAACCACCTATGTGTCACCAATAGTTTAACGTAAAATCTGATTTACAAAATTCAAAAGGGACCTTAAAGGAAGCATGTTAATGAAGTTAAGTTCTTAACTAATAATTAATGTTTTACTTTATATTGGAGTATCTTAGGTTATTTCAGTGCCATTTTTGAGCTTATTAATGATATAGGAGTCTTTGAAAAAGCGAGTTAAATGATTATTTGGTACACAGTATTGGAATGATTGGAGTATATAATGAACACGATTTTGATTTATTTGTCCTCCTTAATAATATTTAATGACATGAAATCCTCCTTACTAAAAATGTAATTGATGTTTTATGGCTTGCAAGTTTGAGCACGACATAGCATAGCATATTGCTACGTATTGCAGCCTTAAATACAACAGCCAGGTTTCTATTTGATTTCACCATAGCAGAGCATATTGTGGTGTTGTAGTGGTGGTGGCAGCACCAACAACGACGACGGCGGTGGTGGTCGTGGCCGTGGCGGTGGGGTGAGTGTTTGTGACTAATTATTTGATTGATTGTGATCAATAAATAATATAAAAAAAACATCGTGACTCACAATAAAAAATCTTCATACAACTAAATTCTTGGCCTACACCATCCACATTTGTCAAACGTTGCTTAATTAGTATTTGAGGAAATTACATAAGATAGATAATATTTTCTTGCATTCATTGCCACAATTAATTAAATTGTTGGCGCTATAAAAGAAAATAAAGTCAATCCATTATCATCTTTAAGAAAATATTTTCCTTTAACCACTCTTGGCCTGCAAAATATTTTAAAATATGGTAAACTCATTTTTCCAGTTATATAATAACAAATCATCTATCTATATATTACAAATGAAATTAGAATATAGAGGAAATTAAATAATTGGATTTTTTAGAAGTTATTCATTTGAAATAAAAGTATACAGTATATTTAAGACAAATTATACAGGAATTTTGTTAAAATATCTTTGAACTTTTTATTGAATTCAAAATTTGACCTTGTCTAACACCGTTAAGCGTACTATTACTCGACCATCGAGCTTATGAAATCTAACCACTTGGCAACCTCACTAATATATAAGTAAAATGGACAACTTTCATGTACAAACTATACTATGAATAATACTATTATTGTATACCATTATGGTCTATACAATAATACAATTTTAAAATCCGATAATTTGAAGAATGTGTCACCTTGTGTAAATAAATCATATGAATTTATAAAACATATGTGAGGGGTGCGGTCGACTAGGGCGGAGCTAGGGGACCGTTTGATTTATTCAGATCTATTATAGTGGGATTCATTTTCTGAGAAATATGAGTCGAAGCAAATTATATTCTTTATGAAAATGACTAACCAATTCGAGGAATTTCTAATAAAGATATTCAATTAGTTCCGACCCGTGAATTTAAAACATATGTGAGGGGTGGGGGTGGGCTAGGGGACCTATTTTTACCACCTTCAAGGGACTATTGGTTTATTTCACTTCCTATATACTTGTCTCTCTTATAATTCTTCATATTCTTGAACTCTGCATTAGCATTTTCTTAAGAAATAAATACAATTAGATGGGGAATTGCCAGACTGTGGATGCTGCAGCATTAGTGATACAGCATCCGAATGGAAAACAAGAGAGAATGTATTCGCCAGTGACAGCTAGTGAGGTGATGCAGATGAATCCAGGACACTATGTTTCACTGATTATTCCATCACCGATCACTGGAGATGAGAATGCCAATGAAAAAACCATTCGATATATGAGTGTTAAGCTTCTCCGGTCAAGTGAAACCTTAGTTCTTGGCCGGGCTTATCGGCTTGTCACCACACAAGGTTTGTACTTCTTCCATCCCTTCTTTCACTTTTTTCTTATTTTTTATCAAAACAACTGATAATCGGGATTGTTTTGTACGAGTCATTAGGCTTATTTTTCATAAAATTTTGTTATTTTGTGATTAAAAGTTTTGAGTTATATATTGATTTGTTGCAGAGGTTATGAAAGTGCTGAGAGCAAAGAAAAGTGCAAAGATGAAGAAAAACCTGTCAGAATCGACGGCCAATTTGAAGATGGATTTGCTGAACTTGCAGGGTTCTGGTTGCGGGTCGGAAGCGGGAAAATCTGCACCGGAGCAGAATGATCAGGTAATATTTTAGAAAATGATGGCTCGTTGGTAAGGTCGACTCTACCGTACTAAACAGTATTAAAGATGAAAAACGATGTTAACAATTTGATAATTTTAGGTCATGGGGCATGACAGACATCAGCTAAGGTCAGGATCCACAAATTTGGCAGCTGCAAAGTCCAAATCATGGCAGCCATCCCTCCGAAGCATTTCTGAGTCGGGAAACAGTATTGGATAGAACTGTACAATATATTTAACAAGTTTTCAGTTTATTTTCTTTCTTTGTTAATATTGTCTTGTCCACGTCTTACCGGACATGCCATAAGTGAACTTTTCAAGATACAGTAAAGCCGGGGAAGATGGTCAGACCATTTCTGTGCGCACTGTCATTTCACAAGTTTATGGAGAAGGAGGGACCGGACAACAATTAGACTTTAATGTTTATAGCTCGGTCAAATTTGATCAAATTTATTTTTGGGAGCAATACATAGTTCCTATTTTTAACGTTCACATTTCATAAATAACAAACTTCTTAAAATATATCAAACATCAGGTGCTAAATAAATTTATTAAATATTAAATTATAATATATTAAACATTAAATTATAATATAATATATATTAATTATTTACACCACCCC